GGTTGAGGACTAGAGGGAATGGCCTTGAGCAGTGACAGGGCAGAGTCAGATTAGATGTTAGGAGATATGTTTTCCCTGTGAGAGTGTTCAGGCACTGGAATATTGCTCAGGGAGGTGATGGAGTCACCATCCCTGGAGGTGTTTAAGAGGCATCTGGATCTGGTGCTGGAGTATACGGTTTAGGGTTTAGGGGTTCCAGCAGTGGCAGGTTAATGGTTGGACTCGATGATCTTAGAAGACTCCTCCAACCTTTATGGTTCTATGATCATCATGGCAGTTTGTACTCTACATGCACTTTAAAACATGTGACACAATTAACCTATGGGTGAAATCACTAGATTGCCTGAGTTATTCTGCCTGAGCAGGAGGACCTGAGCCATCTGTACATTCCTTTTTGCTTTTACCTGAGCTGGCTTGAGTACAAGTGTGTTGCCTGCAGCCAAGCATGCTGCACTCTTCCATGCAAGCATCATCAGCGGGTAATTCCAGGGGATAATAATCGCACAGACGCTTAAGGTAGGGAAAAACAAGGAAAGGTTACATATTTGTGGCAGCTTCTCAATGGCTTTTCTGCATGTCAAGGCTGTCACTAAGAAGAAAAGTGATACTTACCCTATTGGTTCTTTCCTGGTGAATGTTAGGTTATGGTTTGGCCGGGCCTGGTTAATTGGAATTGTAGCACCCTAAAAGACAGAGGAAGGACAAATCTTTGTACTGATTAATCATTCTTATTACAACTATATTTGCCATATAAATATGTTTTGGAAAGCTACAGAGTAGTCTTCAAGACCAGAAGCATTTTTGCATCAGGGAAAGGGGCAGGGATGCTTTGAATCCTGTATGATTTCCTACTATGGATATTGTAGTCAACTCCTGATTTTCACTTGGATGAAATAAAAGCACAGATAACAAAAGTATGGAAGAACAAAAAGTGAGAGTCTGATAAACAACAAAAAAAGCTGAATGATATTCTTGATTGTGGATCTTAAAGATACTTGAGGGAACACTCTTGAACCTGCACCAAATGCTGTGCCATCAAGCAAACTCACCAGCCTTGGTCAGAATCACAGAATCAGTGAAGTTGGAAGAGACCACAATGGATCATCAAGTCTCCAACCTCCCTACTTGAGCAGGGCCACCCTAGAGCACATGGCTCAGGACTATGTCCAGATGGTTCTTGAATACCTCCAGTGGGGGAGAATCCACAAGCTCTCTGGGCAATCTGTTCAGTGCTCAGTGACTGCACAGGAAAGTTCTTCCTCATATTCAGGTGGAACTTCCTGTGCCTAAGTTTCTGCTGTTAACCTCTTGTTTTACTGGTTTCCACCACTGATAAGTGCCTGATCCATCCTCTTGGCACTTCAAGTATGCATTCATGTACTTGAGGTCATTCTCAGTTGTCTCTTCTCGAGAAGGCCCAACTCCCTCAGCCTTTCCTCATCACTGAGTTGCTCCAGTCCCTTAATCATCTTCACTGCCCTCTGTTGGACCTGCTCCAGGAGCTCCATGTCCCTCTTGCACTGGGGAGCCCAGAACTGGACACAGTACTCCAGCTGTGGCCTCACCAGAGCTGAGTAGAGAGACAGGATCACCACCCTGACCTGCTGGTAATACTTTTCTCAATGCATCTCAGGATTCCATTGGCCTTCTCAGTCACAAGGACACACTGCTGGCTCAGGGACAACCTGTTGTCCACCAGGACCCCCAGGTCCTTCTCCACAGAGCTGCTCTCCAGCAGGTCAGTACCCAACCTGTGCTGGTGCTTGGGGTTCTTCCTCTCCAGGGGCAGGACCTGCACTTGCCCTTGTTGAATCTCAGCTGGTTCTGCTCTGCCCATCTCTCCAACCTGTCAAGGTCCCTCTGAAGGGCAGCACAGCCCTCTGAGGTATCACCACTCCTCCCAGTTTTGTGTTATCAGCAAACTTGTTGAGAAGGCAACTCTGTCCCCTCAGCCAAGTCACTGAGGAATAAGTTGAACCCAACTGGGCTCAGGATGGAACCCTGGGGGACACCACTAGTGACAGCCTCCAACTAGGCCCTGTGCCACTGCTCACAACTCTCTGGGATCTGCTGCTCAGCCACTCCTCAATCCATTTTAGTGTCCACTCATCCAACCCACACTTCTTGAGTTTTCCAATGAGGATGCTGTGGGACATAGTGTCAAAAGCCTTGCTGAAGTCAAGGTGGTCCACCTCTCTCCTTCCATCCATCCAAGCAGTTGTTTTGTTGTACAAGGCAATCAGGTTGGTCAAACATGACATACCTTTAGTGAACCCATGCTGACTATTCCTGATCACCAACTTGTCTTCCCTGTGGGCAGAGATGGCCTCCAGAATATGTTCCATTTCCTTCCCAGGGACTGAGGTGAGGCTGACTGGCTAGTAGTTCTCTGGGTCCTTTTTTGTGCCCTTTTTGAAGACTGGGGTGACATTTGCCATCTTCCAGTCTTCAGGCACGTCTCCTGATCTCCATGACTTTTCACAGATGACTGTGAGCAGCCTGGCTATGATGTCTGCCAGCTCTCTCAGCACTCCTGGATGCATCTCATCGGGGCCCATGGACTTGTGATGTCCAGTTTAATTATGTAGCACAGACCATGAGTCTCTGCACTTAGCTGCATGATGAGCACAATGACATTCTGCCCCATGAATAATCAAGAGCTGCCTAAGCATGCATATCCACTGTGACACCTCAGCTGATCTCTTAGACATTTAGAGTCATATTCTAAATCCATATTCTCCAAATGGAAGCAGACTACACTTTTGTATTGATGGGGAAGCCCATTTTAGGTAAAGTTCTCATTTTGCTTTATCTTTTGATTCCTGAATTACTTTTCCTAGCTCCGTTTTCTCACTGTTTCAGAAAAACAACAACAAACCACGTGTAGAGAAGCACTGCCATTGATTTTTTGCCTTTACACATTCACTTGCCTGAATTTTGTCACACCATCCAGCGAAGTATCTGAATGTTTGCACAGACATTCCAATATGAGTCTTCAAAGCTAAAGTGTAGACAGCTCCTGAGTCAATAGACTCTATTGTTGCTAATTCTTCTTGATGTTCTTCCATCAGGTCTGCAAGTCTTTAATAGAAATGTTACAAATTCACATCAAAGAGAAATGATGTCTAACCATTGACAGCCTAAAATTATACTGGGTATAACAAAGAAGTGTAACTGAAATAACATTCCCACTGAATCTGGAGGTGGAGCACTGGAACTACTGCTCCTTGGCATCACTAAGGGCTTGAAAAATTGCCCATTAATCTGCAAATGTCTTCACATTAACTGTAGTTGACACTCGATGAAGACATGAACTGTGAAAACATCAATTATAGATGTGTAAATGGAATCATAATTAGAAAAGCTCTACTGTATTTTCCTGCTGTACTACAAGGAGCTAATTATAGAAAAAAAGACCAGTAACTTAGAAAGCAAATACACAATAACAGGAAGTGTCAAGTAATCAAAAGCACCAAGAAGGAGTAGTCAGGATCCTTGGTAAAATATTTGAGAAATTTAGCTTCATAATGCTCTTTTGCATTGTCTGAAGATGGATTAAAATACTTAAATGTTAGATGCTTCAAAGGCACCCACATGTCCAAAGACCGAGCTCCTAAGCTGTAATGTCCAGGGAGGCTGTGGCTGCCCCAACCCTGGCAGTGTTCAAAGCCAGGTTGGATGAAGCCTTGAGCAACCTGCTCTGGTGGGAAGTGTCCCTGCCCAGGGCAGGGGGCTGGCACTAGATGATCTATAAGGTCCATTCCAACTCATAAAATTCTATGATTCTCTGATGCAAATTGAATTTTACATGCCTTTGTACATTTGAAAATCTGTCCCATGGTCTCACTGGGCCTCAAGGTCTCCATCTGTTAGATTTATGGAGCAGCACAGTGAGGTGTAAGACTGTGGTAAATATTGCTAAGTTGACAATAGCTATCAGAGTGTCTCACAAATGCATCTGCACAGACAGACATCTATACTTTTGAGGTTCTACTGTGATTTTAGTGATGCTCTGGTCAGGTCTGTTTGCATCAACCAATTTTCACATTGAGTCCCTCACATTCACTGACATGGCAGTGAAACAGATGCTTTTCTTCATTAGTTTGACAGAGGCCAGAGAATAAGGGACTCTGAATTAAGGTGGAGCAGAGAGAGCCTTCATTCAGATGGAGAATGGTTTGCAACACAAACACTCTGGCATAACTCTCCTAGAAAGCCAATGACCTAAGCAAGGAGGGATAACCTCTCTGGTGTAGGGCAGCTGCGTTTTCCGTATACCTATCCAAGCTATGTTTGCATATCTTGCATGTGTCACGGAGCAGCCGTTCTAAGACCTTAAAAGTTTCTTTTCAGGTCAGAGTTAACTTGGGCTCTCAAGCACTCTGCATTCCTAACACAAATTAAACTCAAGTTTGTGCATGCTTTGAGTATGTGCACACTTGTGAGGAATTCAACTGACCAGCTGTATTTAATGTTCAGTTCTGACTTGCCCATTTTCTGTTCTGATTACTACTCAACTCTAAACCACTCCTACAGGCCTTTTCTCATGGCCTGGTCACATGCTTTATAAGACAAGCAGAATTTAGGGGTTTGCTTTTATTCTCTTTTGCTAAGATGCTTGCAACATCTTGTAAAACATTGCCTGGAGAAGGTTGCATGGAGACCTCAGAGCCCAGGATCTGATCTGAAGGGGCCCTAGGGAAGCTGCAGAGGGACTCTGTGTTAGGAGCTGCAGTGACAGGCCAAGGGGCAATGGGTACAAATTGAAGGAGGGGAAATTTAGGTTAGACATGAGGCAGATGTTTCTGCTGTGAAGGTGGTGAGACACTGGCACAGGTTGCCCAGGGAGGCTGTGGCTGCCCCAACCCTGGCAGTGTTCCAAGCCAGGTTGGATGAAGCATTGAGCAACCTGGTGTGGTGGGAGGTGTCCCTGCCAGGGCAGGGAGTTGGGACTGGATGCTCTCTAGGCTCCATTCCAACCCCTAAAATTCTATGATTCAGTGATCTAGAGTAGGTCTTCAGCCAGGTGAGAAATATGGTAGGATATGATCTTGTAAAAATCTAGCATCAGTTACAGTCTATTTCAAACTTAGTGGCAATGTGGCTATAGGTTTCCTGTATGGAGTGCAGGTACAAGTAGGCTTAGCAAGGTCAAATCTCTGCCTATCTAACCCAGGCAGACTCTGTCATTAAAACTCAGCCTCATTTATACAGAAGGATTTGGACTTTACATGGGAATTTTCAACCCTTGCAAGAAAACTCATATAGACTAAAGGAAGCCATCAAGTATTTAACATATATTTTCCTCAAATTTGTTGTTTCCATTCATGAAGAACAATAAAATAATGGTGAGAGTTACAGACCACGAGACTCTTCTCTGCCATGAAAAATGCTGGCCAGCTGAGATTTGAGGCCAGTATACTGGAGTAAATCAAGGGATGAAAATATTGCTAGTCTGGGTCTTCTGACAGTGAGATTATGAATCATAGAATCATAGAATTTAAGGGTTGGAATGGACCTTACAGATTATCTAGTCCAAACCCCCTGCCCTGGGCAGGGACACCTCCTTACTAGATCAGGTTGCTCAAGACGTCATCCAGCCTGGCCTTGAGCACTGCCAGGGTTGGGGCAGCCACAGCCTCTCTGGACAACCTGTGCCAGTGTCTTACCAGCCTTAGAGTGAAAAATTTTTTCTCACATCCAACCTAGAATTTGCCTCCTTCAGTTTGAAACCATTACCCCTTGTCATATCACTGCAGTTCCTAACACAGATTCCCTCTCTGACTCCCTTATAGGCCCTTCAGGTATTGAAAAGTTGCCCTGAGGTCTCCACACAGTCTTCTCCAGGCTGAACAGCCCCTACTTCTTCAGCCTGTCTTCATAGGGGAGATGCTCCAGTCCTTTTATCAACCTCATAGCCTCCTCTGGACTTGCTCCAACAGTTCCATGTCCTTCTTATGCTGAGGACACCAGAACTGTGTGCAGTATTCCAGGTGGGGTCTCACCAGCGCAGTGTAGAGGGGAAGAATCACCTCTTTTGACCTGCTGCCCACACTCCTTTGGATGCAGCCCAGGATTTGACCCATCATATTCAGTAAATGTATGCAACAATTCTTCAGAGAAACAAAACAGTAAAATTGGAGAAAATTAAGCACATACAAAGTGCCCTCTACCTACCTGTACATGAGTCTCCCTCTTTCCCCTGCATTCATTCTTCCCCATTCACCATTTTCAAAAGCCTCCTTTGCTGCTGCCACTGCCTTGTCAACATCAGCCAGCGAGGCAGAAGATACACTGGCTATGATCTGTCCAAAGGTAGCATCATGTTAGTTCAAAATGAAGTGTTGAGATGCAGTGTTGTTCCTTCCTTCTAAACTTCATGACTGGGTATAAGCAAATACTTAATATCCTCAACCCTGGCAGTTGTCACAGGTGAATCGGGCTGCAAAAAGTTCAGACACAACTGAGGGGGCAGAATTTGGAGGATACTGCAGGGACTCAGATTCCTAGATCTTTCTTCCCCTTCACAGCAAGGTGCATTATCCCATTGCATTTCAGACTGTCTTTCCATATGTAAGATCAATGTGATATTACAAGAGTTTAAAGTCTTTATATGTGGTGTTACAACCTAATATCTAAACAGACTAAACCAAGTCCTGCTTTTCCTTTTCTAAGGAATGGACTTTTTGTTGCCACAAACCACCACAAACACACAGGATTTGATTATTACTGTGTTCTACAGTTACACACATTGTAAATGCGAATACCAAGTTGTTATGACTTTTATTCCATTCCATGATGAGTTTCAGGAAAAATATCAGAGTTTGACTTCTGACGATGGTGAAATTTGCATCATTCACTTCAGCAGAATCCATTTATCCTAGAATTAATTAGCAATTAAATGAACATCAAAATCTCTGCCCTTATTTTATAGTTCTGAGTTGCTCAACCAAGATTCAGTAGTTCAGGATGGAAGTGCAACTGTATGTACTTTTCTATTGAAGAGTCATTTCTTTTACTGGTAATTTAAAGGCACATTTTACAGTCCCACTTGTCCCCTGACATTAGATTTGTAAAACAAGTAAAATCAAACCTGAAGTTGATGACTGACAGGAAATAGATGCAGCAATCCTAAAGAAATACTTGTTTAGAAACTGAACTTCAGTAATTTTTGTTTTCAAAGACAAACAAGAATGAAATCAAGGTAAAATATCCTGCTGGGCATGGAAATGGATGCACTGGAAATAAGTTACTTTTACTGTGCTGCTTGACTGAAATGGCAAAACTAGAATACACAAACTGAGGAGTAAACTGAAACTTCAAAGTATTTCTAGAGGTCGTGTTATACGTAGTGTATTGTTATGAAATTTGTAATATTCAGCTAACATTTTAGATTTTTCAATAGGCAAAAAAATGGAAATAAACTGGAATTGGTCACATTTAGAAATTACTTACTGATCCATCTGCTGGATTTATAGTGTCATATGTTTTTCCATCATCAGAGTTTATGAATTGCCCATTTATGAAACACTGGTATGGCATATTCACAGTCATGTTGTTCATATTTTTGGAAACCTGAGTGAAAAACCCAACAAATTAATTGAAATATTTGATTAATAACAATTTAATGCAGCTTAACAAGCTTTTGATATCTGCAGTCAATATCCATGTGCATGTGAGCATGTGTATGGCTGTTACGAGTAGAATGCAATGGAAGTCTCATTCTCCCTCAGTGCTGATGATCATAATCTGAGATACTTAAGCAGATTTCTGTACTTGTTTTGTCATTGCATCTCTGTGTTCAAACCAACACTAAACCCTGGTTAAGGCTGTATTCAGGGGACTACCGTCAAATGCATAATTCCCAAACTCAAGAAATTCTGACTTGCTTAATGACTTACAAACCCCACAGAATGCTCCTTTCAGGCAAACTTTTCAAACAGACTCTTAGGAGGAAAACCTGGCACTGTCCATCTAGAAAGCAGGAGTTCTAGAACCATTCTGACTGATGCAAACTGGCAGGACGGTGCAGGGGACCCAGGAATATGTTCCCAGGTGTGAGCTACTATATGGCATGGTCAAATAAAATGGATTGTCTACCCTCTCTCAAAACCCAAGAAAAACTACGCAATAAGCAAAAGAAAAGGTCTTACGTAATCAATTACTAACTCTTCTTCTTTGTCTTCTCCTCTGAATTTTCTGACAGCCATTTGAACAAAGTCTGCAAACTGAGTGGCCATATACACGTCTTCATTCTGGAGTTGAAGTCCACTGTGTTTCTGTTTGATCTCTTCTAGCATTCTAAGGATTTTGAAGAAAGAATAAGTTTAATTACAAATGAAATAATTCTTAAGATAACTGAATCATTAGAGGGACAAAAGGGATCAGTGGGATGAGGTTGAACAAGGCCAA